TCAGCGGATGTTTTCCCCGCTGTTACGGGATGTAAAATCTATGGTGGAGCCCGAGACGCGAGTGGATTCCCTCTGAGTCGCGATAGTGACGTGGATGTAATCGAAGATTATCTTTCGACGAGGGCTTTTCGCGGTTTTTTCGGGGCACGCCTCGAATCTCCATACACCCGCGAATTCTTCGGAATTTTGATAGCCCACGATTCGCACTACTTTCGGGCTCAAAGGCACGTAGCCCGTTGCAACCCGCGCCGCGCATCTCCTTATCCTGTCTGCCTGTATCCTCGTCCTCGCGCGACGAACACGTCGCTATTTACATACGCGTCGGTGCCAATGCACGTATATACGCGCGACGCTGCCGTGCACGGAGCGTAAAGACTCTCGTCTTTCTTTCCCCTCCTTCAACACGCCCGGGTGACGGCCGCCGCCGCCGCGCCGGTGCTCCACGCTCTGATATTTGACGCCGCCGGAATTTTGATGCTGCACTCCGGCCGCGCACAGGGATACGGACGCTAGTACATCACGCGCGCGTTCACTTATCTAACGGAATTGGCGCCGACTTATCCGGAATTCTAAAGACGACAGTGCAACACGTATGCGCATACGGATGACGCGAAAGCCATTATCTGTCATTTTGGTAGAATAGCGAAAATCGCTCCCTGCCCAATTTTCTGATATAGCGTTGATATATCCTATTTATCGCGCGATAAATCTCCCTGCAGGAAATGCCTCTGGCGAATTTCTGCAATTTCCGAAAGATTCTTATCCGACGGACGATCAACGCGTTTGATGAGTTTGCTCGAGGAAACGTTAGTCCTAAATAAATAAAGATAAGAAAAATAAATGTACCAACGTAAATAATTTATTTAGGATCTTCAACAATTGCTTTTGAAATCATTAATAAAAAGTTACTGTAATTAATAAAAGCACATTAGTAAAAGTTAGTAGCAATGTTAACGTTTTTTCAGCAAATAATTAGCGAAAATAGAAGTAAAATACAATGTAAATAAGAATGATTGACAGATGTCATTATTGATGGGAATGTTACGATAGTCAATAATTAAACATTTTTGTTCCTACTATTTTTATCTATAAATAAAATATTTTCCACCGTATCCAGAGGGTTCCATAAAATATACTTGAGTTCTATGTTCTTTATACAACAGTATAAGATAAACGATGAAAGACGAGTCGGATCTCGCGAGAGGCACGTCTCTTTGCGTATCTCCTTTGTGCGTAGGCGGATAATCTTGCGTATCTCCTTGCTTGGTAGCAAGATCAAGGGTAGTAGTGGACCAGTGGAAACTCAAATTACACCAGCGAGAGGGAATGAGATTTCAGGATTTTATTCCACCATTCCTATACGAAGTCGGATTGTATGCCACACATACAGAACGTCCCTTCTCGCGAGACATTTCTCACGTGAATATTTTATGTTTTCGCCACGTTGATATTTAACATTTCTTAAGATCGTTTATAAATTCTCTCCGACCGTTTCTATAATTATTTAATTGGCATGATTAGCTTGGGCCGTTATATAATAAAGTGCAACACTTACGAAAGCCTTGGTGCATTTCCATCATATAAAATATAACGCGTATTTATTATCTAACTCTAAGCGATTGTAATAGATGAAGTTATTCAGCGTGCGCTGCGAGCCAGTCGTAATTTGTGGCGACTGTCGTGCTATTTATGGAGCTCTCGAATGAGATTTCATTAGTTTGTTGTTCGCGAACTGCTAGTTAAATCATTAATCTTGATGAGCTTGATGGTGAAAGCAGATGAGAATTTTCACGGAAGAGTAACGTGTCGGCACACTTACTCCGGATACCAAGTTTCTTGATGGATACCGGGATCAAGGACGGTTGAGCCCGGCGTCGTGGAAACTCGAAGGAAGGCGATTAAAGTCTGGATATAGATTGGCTATAGGGAATCCAGAGAGAGAGAGAGAGAGAGAGAGAGAGAGAGAGAGAGAGCTGTGCAAAGAAGCTCCGACTATGATGTGGAACAAGCAAGGTTGCACCATGATATCCTTCTCTATATGTCTCTCTTCTTCTCTCTCTCTCTCTCTCTCTCTATTTCGTCGACTTCTAATCCTCTAAATCCCCTTAAGACTGCGTTTCCAACGCGCGCGAGAAAACCGAGTGAATCGGAAATTTCGTGCAATCGCTTGTACTCGGACACTTCCTATCGGGATATCTCCACCGGATATCGATATCGAATCAGCAACATGTCAGCTGTAAGCGGCTGGATTCTCCATGGCGAATCTCGCGATATTTTTTGCCGAGAATTATCTAACCATTTTTGTTTTTTTTTTATTATTTATACCTGATGTAGCACGACACACATGTGCGATCTTTTTTTATCCTCAGTGCGTCTGCATGTGTGAATTTTAAAGTTCATGTAAACGTAAAGAAGTTCCAGATTTACGGTAATCTAAAATGGATTTTTTAGAAAAAAAATTAGCTCGAGACCAGATTAAGCAAAATTGAGCACACGCGAGACAATGCTTCCGTGTTGCGAGCGCACTTCGGTAACGTAAACCACTTAGAACCGGCTTTGCGCTCTTGCGGCGCGATCCTGTGGAGGGCTCCAGGCTGTACGTATATTCCGCAGCTTTACAACTGCGGCTGCGGAGTTAAGTTAAGCGAAAGGAAGAAGCCTCATATACGTGGAGACGTGTTACGGCCGCGGCGCGCCGGGGTCTATAATCCTTAAGGAACCCGACTCGGCGATAAAGACACGGCTCGGGAACGTGCCGACCCACCGGGACGAGAATCGTGAATCCAGTTCCATTCGAAACGCAGCTCGCGCAACCCGGCGAAAATACCGAAATCGAATTGCCGAGTAATTTCCTCTCCAAATGCGCTTGGCCACGTTGCCCCGGTAACCGGCATGGACGTCGACGGCGCCGCAAAAACCGCCGAATCTTCTGTTCCGGGGACGGAAACTACGGAAGACAACTCGCCGCAGCGAACGTGCATGAAAGCATATAGCCGGACCCGACCGTCCGGAACCTCGTTGTTGTTCTACTCCCCGAAAGCGACTGCGTTCTGTATGCGCGATATATCTCCGCCACTCTCCAAATTGAAAAATAAATTAACGGTTTTTCAGGTGCAACGTATTTTGTACGGTGTTTGTTTCAATTTTGACAGTGAAGTTTGTGTAGAAAGTAGAGACTTAAAATACATATTACGTGCATAAGAAAGTGTTCATTTTTAAAACGTGAATTTTTTTATATTTTGGAGTATATTTTATATTTTAACTTATCAAGTTATCTTTAACCAAAATAGAAAGAAGAAGAGATGGCTAGTATGGCTATTAAATAAGTCCAACCGATATGTAGATTTAATTGATATATGTTAGAGTTAAATACCATTTCCAATTTACATAGATGAATTTTTTTCTCTATTTCTTACGACTAATTAATTCGTCGATATCGATTGCTGTGGCAACAAGTTCAATGTCAATAGCACATATTGTCCTTCCTCGAAGTTTCTATAAATACACGAGACGATGAAAGGGCTATTAATAAGAGCGAAATGCGGCTAATGGTCGAAATCGTGGGCGGCGTTCAGCACAAATAATGGCGCGGCGCCAAAAAAGAGCCGGATCGTCGAGGGCGATATGTACGGTGGTTCGGGATCTCGGTTGGAGGCTCGGGCGGAAACAAACTGCTGATTACTTTGGCCTTGTGTCAAAACGCTGGTCCGGTGCTCTTTGCACCTCGTTACCGCAAGAAACCCGCGATCGTAGGATTTTTATTGGCATAATCGCAGCGCATCTCAATATATCTGAAATCACATCTTCACGCACAATAAATGCTTCTTTGTAGTTAGCTCACTTGTGCGTCTAATCATCGACCGAGATCGAGAATTTCGTCGTTTATTTTCGACCTAACATGAAGTTCACCGCGCCAATTTAACACTTTAACTACCAATGTGTGAGTTAATCTTCACGAAAAATTCACGCGTATAATGTTGAATTTTCGAAGTTTCGGAAGTTACTTCCTAACAGCTGCTTTCAGGATGAGGCGCGAGCGAGAACTACTCCTGCGGATAAAATGTTTTTTGCCAAAACAGAGGAAGATTAAAATAAGAAAGGGTCTTCGCTCAAAATTTTTTTAAGTGAGTTTAGCGTTAAAAACGCGCGTAAATAATCGCCATTTAATTTATATTAGAAGAAAAGAAATTGCGTGCCTTGTTAGATTGTCAATGCATCCTTCGCGCGCTTGCGAAGATGAAATTTCTCTCGGCCCTTGTACTTTAATGTATGTACAATGATTTAATGTACAAAGGTATCTTTATCATTTCTTTCTTAAATGTTTTTCTTTAGATGTTCAGTTTTTTGTTTAAAATAATCGGTAGGTAATGATTGTGGATAATCGACGACCGACGTGCGCAAATACACGCGCTAACGATGTTCTCTATACTGAAACATGCGCGCTCTTGAGCGTCCGATAATGCACCCCACTGAAAGTAATGCAATCGAGCTTCCAGTTTCGATATTACGTAAACATGGAATAATTCTATTGAAAGGTATTACACTGTTAACGGCGCCGCTTTCTCCTCCCCGTCGTCTCTTATTTCAATGCACCTATAACTCGCCCTTTTCTCTCGTCTAGAAAGATGATGTTAAGGCTACTTTCAGATCTACTTTTCGTTACTATATAAGCTCGTTTCTATCTCACCGCCGAGAAAATGCTTATCGCGACGTCGATAATTTTATTCTGTTTCCAATCTCGAAGAGATATGACTATGCTTTCGTGACAAATAAATACTATATTAATGCTGCAAAGCGCCAGAGAAAGATTTTGCTTCAATTAATTGCGACTTTATATTAATATTGTAAGATAATATTAAATTATAAGTTTTAATTGTTATGCAACAGTTTAATAATGATCTGATTATTATCTGCGACAACATTCTCGACCTGGAAACATTTACCGAAACATAAAACTAGGCGAAGGAATAGATAGCAACAGATAGATTGATGATACTGACCTCTCATGTAGATGTAAGCAGTGCCGCGCATATTTCTTCTCGTGAGGACGACGAGATTCAAGATATTTCCGATGATGCCGAGGCAACAAATGGCCGGCAACACGATACCGTAACTGACCCTTCTCAAAGTTGGCGTTCGAGGATCCTCCAGCATATCCAAGTCTTCCGGTAGCAGGCAGATATTCTGTATCTCGCTTATATTGAGCAGGTCCGTCATTTTGCCGTTCTCTCGCTTTTTTTCTCTCTCACTTCAGTATCTCTCACAATTCGCGATAAATTTCCCCGTTTCATCGCACACGCAGATCCATCTTGGAACTCATTTGTTCAGTCTCGCCATGCGTTCATCTCGCAACTTGCACTTAATCCGATCAGTAGAGAGAGACAGTAGATCGATCGCGTTGTTCCAGGATTTTCGAGCAAGATGGTGACTGGCGACAACGCTTCGCGCGATCCGAACGATAGGAACAAGATTGGCAAGTTAGGAACGAAACGCGTAAAATTGGAAACGCCTTTTTGTCGGGCAGGATTGTCAGATTGTCGCGATTCGACGGCACGAGTCGCAAGAGAGCGGGGTATCACATGCCGGTCGAGAGCGCGCGCATCCGTCAAAAATACACCTGTCGTGCAACAGGTGCGACAAGAGTTTCATTTTACCATGGTAACGCCGTGAAGAGTCTGCAGGAAGTCTGAGCAAGTCCGCGCCGGCCCGAATAAGCGGCTTTATCACTTACGATATCCGCGGTTGCTTATTTCACCGAGGAATCCGAACGTGTTCTTCCTGACAATTTGTACGCCGCCATCGTCGTGCGGCAGCTGCGCCGTTCCACGCTATCCTGAAAACAAACAGGTCGTTCGTGTGTATTTCCGCAAATCCGATACATTCGCCGCAGCGAGTATATTTATCCTCCTCGCGCTTCGAAGGATTTTAATCGAAGCAGCACACGCGCGTAAGGGCTGAAAAATGAATTGCGCAGTCTATTCCTGTTACACAATGATGCTTTATTATACGGATTAAATGGATTTTGTGCATATAGTAAATTTGAAAAGCTTGTCTAACTCGTCACGTATATCCTTCGCGAATTCCATGTTTCCAAGTCGGGAAAATGCGGAGTATGATAAGGAAATGAAATCGAACATCCCGTCGCAAAAAGGACACTAATGAATTCGCGCGGGCGTGATTTTTCGTAGCTCTGTCTTGCGGAGGAGCGACCAAGGAAGCGTCTCGTCGCAGGAAAAAAATCGTTACCGGTAGCGCAACGTGAGGATTTAGATTCAGAGGTCGACTCCTCCACTTCCAGATTTCGAGACTTCGCGGCTGAAGAAGCGCGACTGAATTTCAGATTCCGTACGAAAATGGATAGCACTTCCTGTCCCCTCACCACCAGCCTCCGCGACCACCGCCTTCTCGTAGGCAGCGCGCATCCGGAATCACACCCCGCAGCCGGTTTATATTCAAGACGCTTTCGGCGTTTCGCGTCTCGCCGCCAATTCCTTCCGTGGCGAGATATTTCCCTTCCCTAAAGAAGGAGGAACTTGTCGCGCAACTGTCGTCCGCAAAAACGAATATAATCCCCGCGTCTCTCGTCCTCGCGCAAATCAGAGTTCCACGGACGAAAACGCTTTATGCAGGTCTGTACGCGTTCTCTAATGCATCTGTCTATACGTGTATATTTGCCGATCCGCCCGTCGGAACGAAATACCGAAGTGCACTTTGCACATTCACCGTGCATTTTTGCAAAGTTTGCGATCAAGACTTGAAGTTCGGCGATCGCGTTTCGCTTCGATGACGTTCCTGGCTTGATTCCCCGGGAACTTCACCCGCAAAAAGTATTCCCCCAAGTTTTCGGGCGACGCGAGTTGTACGGGAGACCTCAAACAAAATATTCGCTTCAATTTCTTATTCGCGTGTGATAGCTTTTTGCCGCAGCGTCAGTCTCATTTTGTCTCTTTCGTCTAAATATTTGTATCGAGATATTCGGAGCATTGCGAAACGTGTCACGACAATGTTGCTATTGAACGCGAAGTGGATGCAATTATGTGACGGTATCGTTATCACTGGCAATCGATCCTCGTGTCGGACAAGAAATATTTCCTTTTCTAAGTGCCAAGGCGGAAGATAGCTGTCCGCAGCCTATTCTTTGCTTCCCCGTAGCAAAGCGTGCCCGGCGTCTTGTAGAGCCCTCGAGGATCGTAAACGAAACTGTAAGGGAGTTGCTTTACTGTCGTACCGTAAGTCTGCTGAGAATCAGAAAGATTGGACTCGCACGAAGCAATTAGGATTAGGAGCGGTTTAAGAATTCCTCTAAGCATTCAGAGACTGAATCAAAACAAACATCTTTAGTTTACAGTTATTTTATAAATTGGAATTCATTTATTATATCGTATTTTTCAAGTAAAATTGTATTTTAGATATTATACAGTATATTCGGATGTTTGAGATTTAATTTGCTCAATCTTTCAAGTTTCGGTATTTTACACATCATGGGGGTGAAGATAGAGAAATTTAAATATACAGTTGTAGAAAACATAAAAAAAAACCATAAAAACTTTGTTTAAAACATTTTGTTTCATATACCGTTTCGACGATAAAAGAAAATGCGCGTTTTTCACGACAATTTGCGTGTTTATTACGAATATCTGTCACAGATAGAACGAACTAATTTGCAAAACTTTATTAGAGCTAACACGATTCGTTGCAAGAGGCATCTGGTGAGGTAGAAAACAATGATGTCAACTGGGATATTAAATGAAATAATCAGCCACCTGTCGTAATAAACGCAAGAATGGCAACTAGAACTCAGATCGTTCGAAACGCGCGGAGATTACTCGAGCTTCCGTGTATACCGGCGATCACCGGGATTAATCTGCGATTCCGACTTCGGGATAATGTCCTGTAAATCCGCGCGTTTTACGCTCTGCTTCGTAAACGTTTCACGACGCGAACACGCGCGTTCACCCCTCTAAGATTGTATAAGCTCAACAGCGCGCGTGTGCTTCCTGCCGTTTCACGGATAGCTTATCGATCACTTAACCGAGAGAGATATGTTAGCCTCGCCAACCCGGCGAACCTTTCACAACGTCCTTCTTCACCCCGCGATCGTGCAATCGCGACCGAGACGATGATCGCAACTTAATGGACTCTCCTTCTCGAGTATAAGCTGTAAAATCGCGATCGGTAGACCGTCAAATTGCGCCCGGGGCTCAGAGTTGATGGAACAGGGCCGAACGATAGATGAGATCGCTTTCGAAACTTGCGGAAACGTGACGAAATTTTTAATAAGTAAATTACGAACGCGTTAACCTTTGAGATTTGCGCGAAACAGAAGCTGTGGAGTAATCAATGGGTTGATAGGATGAATTATTCCGCGCCAAAAAACCAATTTACGCTGTATGATTGCTATTTGAATATTATTAACATAATGTTAGAGAAATATTTAAAAAATTTATGATCTTGCGGAATCTGCATGATAAAAATTGCTAAAACTTATGCTTATGAGAGATGCTTGAAATTCTAATATCATGCTAGTAAAAATCACATCAATTTATTTATTATTATTATTATTTTTTAAGTAAAAGTGCTTATGTCAGTTCTGTTACTTTAACGCTTAATGCAAATCAAGCTGTATAAAAAAACTAGCTAGAATTTTTAATAGTACTCCGGTATGTTTTTACTAGTAGAACAAAAATATACGTGTGCCCGTTTAAGGTTGAGAAGAGCGGCGCGTTTCCATAATCGAGTTGTTTGACGGAGAATCAAGAAAAAGTCGATGACGGGCGGAGAGAAAGAAAGAGCGAGAACTTTTTTGCGTGCTGATGAGATTGAGCGAGTCTGTGGCCTGACAAGCGTTTCGAGTTTCACCCTTGTAATCGCTTTCGCTCTCTATCCACGTTATTGCCAATCAAGTCAGAACGATCGTCGCGCCCAACTCGCAAAGATCGATATTGCTCCCGGTTATTGTCAACTGAAAGAAATCTGCCGTTCCTTTTTCGACGAATAAAGCATTTTTCATTCTAATTTACTTGCAAAACTGATCTCTTTGATTCATATTTTCATTCTTTTGATTCAATCGTGATAAATCTCGGTATTCTCGATCGCTTACGCGAGGACCAACCTTTCCCGTTTTGCCGAATTTATCCGCTCGATCGTTTACGATCTCGTGGATGGAAATTGTTCCTATGATGGTTATGATTGTCGCGTTCGTAATAATTGTATAAAAGCATCGGAGGATGCGCATGTGGGTGGTGCGTGGAGTACATCGCGTAGTGACGCGCACGATCGTTACGCTAAAACATCGCAATTCGATCCGCGTTGCGTACACACGCGTCAGTTGTTGTCCGCGTGGCCGGTACGTGGATTGCAAAAATATTCCGACGATAAATCACGAGCTGTTCCGGTGAAACATCAGTTTGCGAGTCGAAGGGCTGGTTGTAAAAATAAAACCGAGTGCACTTTTTCCCATGAGAAGGTCTGAAGGTCTCTCTCGCGTAATTCAGTATACGATATCGTCTCCCGTCGATTACGCGATTTTTTTTTTCTGTTTTTTTTTAACTTGGCTTAACTTTATTAATAATGTACAGCACTTCATATGTGAGAGAAAGAAAGTTAGGTACAAAATAACATGAAACTGTGATCGATATGATTTCGCACGGTAGACACGTGTAAATGACACCTCGTAGCTTCTTTTTTGTTTCCTTTCGCACTTTTTTCCTTTCTCTCTCTTTCATTTCTTCGTTGATTACTTTGCAAAGCCAGTGGTTATTACCTAAGTGTACCTAAGTTACCGAGTGTAGCGAAGGAATCAAGATGTGCAATTACTGAATTATTAAAGAATCTTAACAAGCATCTCGAAATTCCAAAGAAGCTGCTTTCATTTATCGTCTGGATGACTTAGAAAAATACGAGAGACACGCGGAAATGCGGAAATCGACATTTGTGCACCAACGAATGTGTTAATATTTTGACATAACATACAACGGGAAGCGTAAGAGGAAAAAGGGGGGCGTCGGCGGGAAGCAACCGCGTTGTGGAATTGACACGTGGCGCAAAAGTCCCGTAGGAAACTTTGCAATTTCCTCGACCACGTGCGCGAGCGTGTTTCGTGACGGGGTGACAAACTCCCGCAAGTTTTGCACCGAGGGAGCCTCTCTAGCCCCTTTTCTCGTTCGCCTCCTCCTCCCCGTGCCCTCCCTCAACCCATGCAGCAGCTGCGACTTAAAATACGCAACGACGAAGAAGGAAACTCGGGCATGCCAAGCATTATGCATTCGCCTTCCGCCGCGCCGGGGACGTCACTGAGGACCGCCTCCCGAATCGTCGGTGTGCATTATGGGGGGAGGAGAGGGCACGATGTGAGGGGCACAGGGGAATGAGCCGAGCCGATTTTACGCTTACAACGCGTCTTTGCGCCACTCGGTGGGTTAGCATAGGTCCTACACAGTTTGCAACACTCTCAGCCGCTAGCGAGCTTCTCCGCGCGAAACTTTGCTCCATTTTTCTCTGCAAACTTCTCTCCTCGTACACTTCTCCTTTCCATGCTCTCTCGTAGAGGGTGTTTGATCTTAAACTCTCGGCGATTCAAAGTGATTTCAAAATAAGTGCCTCGATCCTACATACCCTATTTTTATCTTATCAAGTGAGACTTGATGTTTAGAAAGTAATAAAAACATTTTGCATGGTAACGGCTTTTTAATCTGGTAAATGTAATGTTCAGTTGCACGTAAATAATTATTTAACACGTTGACTAGCATAATGATCATCATGACCAGAATTATCAAAATGACCAGCGTTATCAAAATTTTTTAAAACTGTAAGAAAAAATAAATACCATTTAAT